ATTGCGAGGATCACGACGAGCCACACAGGAGAACGCCAATGGGACCTACGAATCGAACAAAAGTCAATTTGGGGACCCAAATGAGGTGTGGACACGAAGGCTTACCTAAATCAACCTTTGACGAGTCCGCATCTGCAAAGACCAAGGCCGGGGCAGCAACCAACAAACACACCCGCAACCAGTGCGCGGAATCCATTCTCCACACCATGTCCAAAGAACTCTTTTACTCCATGAACAGACCTGGAAATCTGCCTAATGGCGGTGTGAAAAACGGGGCCTCCGACAATAAAGTCTCCCAAAAGCCAGGCGACAACTTGCCGCCCACGAGGAAAAAAGTTGGTGGGAAAATTCAGCCCGTGGCTGCGCGCTTAGTTGCCAGCCTCTCATATTGCCTTATTGATGGTAAATTACATTAGGAATTGAACCAATCAACTCCTGAGGCTTATCTGGCACGCTCATTGCGTTTCGTCATGCAGTACGAGGTGTCGCACTGCAAATCGGTTGACCTCGGAAACTGTTGCGTCATGTATTTAAGAAAACAAATTACTTCGACATAACGATACAGGATATGATGTCCGTCGATGACATTGGTGTGTGCAAATGAGTTATACGGGACTATGGCAGGGAACACATAGAATGACATGTTATTGTACGCTATAGATTCTGTAAAGAATGCAAAGAGTGCCAAGCAGTATCATTTTGTGTAGTTCTTGGATATTTCTTCTGCCAGTTAGGTGCAAAACATCACGAGTATAAACGATGTTCCAAACTTTAGTCTATCGGTCGTCAGCCCTCCTGGTTGTAAGGAGCAACCAAGAGTGCCGCATGATAATCAGTAATTCTTTGATGATCAGCCAGTCAGGTAGCTCATGTAAAATGGACAGTCACAGGAGAGGCACCATGTCAGCCATTCTAGCAAATAATAATAAGTGAATCAAATAATCTCATTAATTTCCTCGAAAGACAGGAAAAATCAGGGAAGGAAGAAACCGGAAATTAGATGGATTAAACTTTAAAAAACATTGGCGCTCTTGGCACCAAACCTACGACAATATTCTTATCCATTTTAATGTTCAGGACAATCCCAAAATGAAAATATCAATCAAAAGCCATGGTATTTAATCGCACCTCAACCATGTCGTCGCCTGGAGAGATTTCCTGAAAGGCTGGCTGCCCGTGGCTGTACAGCCTGCAGACGCATAGAGTAGTTCCGATCCTCTTAAAACGCCTTTCCAATGGTAAATGACACGACCAGTTGCACCAATCACAACATGATGGCATATGTGGCACATGTCTCCCGATGACAGTTTCGTCTTTCATCTGCGTGCAAGCTTGTAGCCTCCCCGATAGCGTCAAGAGTTTTGAAGACTCGTCGTACTAGGACTCGGGTTGGACTTCCGATATATGAGATTTGGCTTCGTGTTTGGCTTTGGTTTCAAGGAGTGGACATGGTGCAGTCCCGTTTCTATGTACTCTACACCGATACGGAGATGCAACAAAAATAGTCAAGACCATGTTGCAGTTTAGTCCACAATGTATGTGCCCTTTCACGAGGTTAGCCTGTATGGAATACGTCAAGGGTCTGGAGATACAGGAACAAGGTCATTGAATTT